TAAAGCCTTTCAATTGTAAATTTAAAACTTTTTCAAAGGCAAAAATCGATGGCTTTTGAAGGACTTCTTTAATTTAACCCTTTTGCGACCCCAAAAAATGACTTCTTTAAACGAGAGCACATTTCACTTATCTTTCACTTTACACGCAACATCAACTAGTCAACTTGTCTGTCTGTATCTGCCGACAAAGGAAAAAATATGGAGGAAAACTGGGAAATATTTGTTTATCTCAACGTATCTAACTATGTTAGGCTACATGGCTGCATTTCCTACCCTACACTCCACATTCGACCGCGGGCGAATTTGAAACCGAAAATGGCGAAATATGTATGCGAATCCTTGGCTCGCCTCAGGCGTGTTGTTTTTCTGTCCCGGCTTTGATTTTGATTTATGTTGCAGTAAACACAGCCAGCCGAAAGCAGGAGAAATGGCAGTGGCAACCTCATTTGCTACTTACTTTGTCGCATCATTTCACCATAGGAAACATACCCTGCTGGCACCACCAAACCCAAACACCCCCCACCCCCACCCCTGTACCTCAGTTAGACAACGCATGCCAACGCAAGGAAGTTGTGATCTTTTTTTTGTCTCTGGTTTGGTTGTTGTTCCGCAGGATTCTCCCCGGCGACAGAGCAAATGTTTGCCATCCCTCGAAAGCTTCTCACATAATTGTGGTGACGGTCGGCGGCGGTGGTGTAAAAACCCAACAGAAAAGAGAGTCCTGGTTCTCGGTTTCAGCGGTATTAATATTTTAGTCCTCGATACTCACTTTTTATTTTTACTTACCATGGTTTCACTATTCACAGTTTAAAAGTTCAATTTGCTTTTAAGTATGAAAATTATTATTACTGAATGGCAATTTTTTAGAGATTGTAAAACATTGAAAATTATAAATATATTTTTTAAAGTTTTTTAAGGTATTTTTTTAAAATTGAATGAATACAAATTTCTATTGTGATTGATTCAAAATCATCAATATAATTTTAAACTTAAATGAAAATTGGTTTAAAGGTCTGTGCTGCTTTAAATATTACTGTTTATCTTTATACAGATAATAAATATAAATTTATTTATCTGCAAATTTGATTAATTACTTAAATATTCCTTGGCATTTTTTTTGTTCTTTGACTTGCTTAAAAACCAAAAATTACTTATATTTCATGCATGAAAACGCCAAATTAGTAACCACTACCTTCAAGATTCCGAGAACATCGTGGAATGAGTCATTTTGGCAGACGCATTGTGAGTGTTTACGCTTTATAAAATGCAACATTTTCGGCGATGGCAGCATTAGAATTCAGCCTGGCAGTTGGCAAGGCGACAAACTTGCTTTTAGCCCAACTCGAAGCTTTGGGCAATAAGACGCGTAACGCTTTGTTTGACTTGAATTTATGGTGATGTTTCTTTTTACTTCACTTCAGTGCTTTTTCTGGCAAAACTCCCAGCCGACTCATGGCAAAGTGCCTGAGCCGGCAGACAGTGTCTGGTTTCTCTGGCACTTGCTCCAGAAATGTTTTAATTTCTTTGGCTCGACACAATAATTTACACACTCGTGCCGGCTGCTCGGCCATAAAATCCTTGTTTGACTTGCATTTCGGCCAATAATTATGTTTGCACATTTTATGTAGTCAGCGGCATTCCCTATTAAAATTTATTTGACAATTCGTTAGTTTGTTTGCTCTGTCATAATAATTCATTGCGTTTATGTGTTGTACTTGGTATTTTATTGCTGGGAGGTCTCATGTCGATGAATGGAGTTCCATGGTAGTTTCGTTCTTTTTTTTACTATTTGATATTCTTTCTTCTGGTTTTAATATATGCCCATCAATGTTGATTGCATACTCTTTTGGCTGCTGCGCGAGTTTATGTGGTTAGTCAGACGCAAAGAACGTAATAAAATTTTCTACTCCGCTGTGACATTGTACTTTTTACGGGTTATCAATATTCCTCGATCATAACTTTTCGTTTCAATATTTTAGATGTTTTTATGAAGCCAACGCCATCGAATGTTGTCATCTGTATTTATAGTGTTTGCTTCTATAACCTTGCATTCACTATTTTTTAAATCCTCTCTATTTTATATACGAAATTGGGTGAGCACTACGTTAGAATATTGTATTCCTTTCTATCCACAGGAAATGATTTACTTAAAAGAAAAATGTATCTGCTTTCATTGCATTTTATTTATGTTATGAAGTTACCTAGTCAGAATTTTATGATTCCAAAAGCTCAAATTAAAAGAGCATAAAATTCTACAAAACTTCCCAAATAACTAATTGCATTATTAACATCTAACATGAACTTCTCAACGAAAGGGCAGCTTTAGAGCTTTATTTAGAAAAAAAAAAACTGAAACACAAATCATTCAACTGAAAACTAAAAACCCCCAAAGAATAACCATAACCAGAAAAAGAAAAAGAAAATGTTGGTAAATCCAAAGAGAATTTTCCATTAACGCACGTGTGCTGGAGTCGAAGACCACATTGCAACAAAAAGAATTTGAAGCTCGGTTTGGGAATCTCAGTCTGAGTTGGCATGAGGGTTGCGTTGCGTTTTGGGGCGAAAAGCCAGCTTCACAAACTGACTGACAAAACCTCAACGTGCCACTAAAAGCATAATCATGCACTTAACTAAAGCCCAGCCAAAGGATGTTGTAACCGCGTGTGGGGCAGGATGTTTCGGGTGCTGAGGTAACGCACGTAGAACTTAAGTCATCATCATATAAATAAAAATTTATGACTTTAAATGTGTGCGTGAGTTTGTTTGTTTGTGTGTCCTGTGGTTACTGGAGTGCGGTGGAAGCCCCAAGTCATGCTTTATCACCGGTGTGGAGTTCCCCGATTGAGTGGCAGAGGGGGGAAGGAGGGGGGTTGTAGGTGATGACGACATGCGTGACTTTATTTGCACTTGCAGCTGCTGAAAGGGTGATTTAAAAGTGGTGCTATAACTGGTTGAAGTTTTTTTCAGAAGGCAAACAGTTTTCCAGAAACGTTTAACGTTTTGTGAAATTTTTAAAATACAAAACTTTATATTAATAAAATTTTAAAAATATTAATTGAATTGTCAATAAACTAAAACATTACCTTGCTTTAATTAAATAAAAACGTTTACCTAAATGACATCGCTTTGCAATGTATATGCTATTTTCTCTATGTTAGAAGTTAAGTAAGTTAGTAACTATCTATTAAGCAGTATGTCTATACATTTATTTAAATATCCTTTAGCCGCAGATGAAGAAAACTCAAGTAAATTTCCCATTTACTCAAATGCTTATCTAAAATAACACACCCCTTCCAGCTGTGTCGTTTTTGATGGCCTTTTAAGTGCTCCTAATCACACATAATATTCATGGCAAACATCTTGCCAGTTTCCTCACAATTATAACAACAGACAGCTTTTACTTTCGCCTACTTAGACGTATCCCCAAATGTAAATTTCGGTTCCATGAGGGGGCTTGGTAATGCGAGAAACTAACAACGGAAAGCCGCTTGCCCGGCTACTTTTCAAGTTAAAGTTATTATCCTGGGGGGCGGAGCCACTTGCAGGACGCGGCCACGCCCTCGTGCCAGACTTGACAGGACTCGGTAGACTTTTGAATAAATTTTCAATCTCCAGGACAACGAGTCGGGCGGCGAGGGGCAGGAGGAAAATCAGCATTATGAATATGTAGCTACATCTTCTTAAATGTATCTGCCTGTTGTTCGTGTTGTTGGCTAAGTGAAAAGCCAAAGCCGAGTTGCGCCTGCAACATTTTTAAAAGCCGCTTTACTTTCCCTCTAAGACGGCAACTTTATTAAGTTCTTTTTTTTTTTTTTTTTTTGGGCCAGCGAAAACTTTCTTTAGCTGCAGCCAACAACGAAAAAAAAAATAGCCAAAATAGAATGGAAAGTTCTTTGGCTTTCGTCTTCTTGCACTTCTTATTTGGCCTGACGTTGGCTGTTAAATGCTTTTAGCAGCTTTTTGTTGAGAACTTTAGCCAAAAGTTACGCTCGAAATGGTAAACGATTTTCGTACTAAGCCAAAATATGATTTAATTTCAGCTGATTTCGTGATAGGGAATTAGAAATAATTAAGCCACTAAACAGCTGATAACAAATACCCAATTAAGCCGAGGACAATTAATTGTAATGCCTCTAAGACAGAGAATTGTCTTCGGGCCGATAAAACGTGGCCAAGAACGAAGTGCGACTATTTCTCTTTGTGGTCAACCGCCATTAACGTTTATTACACCCACAAAGTGCCAGCAAAAACCAAAGAGCACATGCACAAAAATAAAACCCCCAAAACGGAAAACCCAGGCAAAAACAGCAATGGGCGAAAAAATATAATTAAAAATAAACATTACGCGGCGACAGACAATAAGAGGAAAAACCAAGGAAAAATTCAAAATCCAAAAGGAGAGCGAGCAAAAAAGCAGAAAAGCGAAGAAATGTGTAATAAAATAAAAGCAAGAGCCAGGTGAAAATTGCATTAGCCCGAAGGAGAGAGATATGGACAAAGGATCGAGGGTCCTTGTGCAGCAGCATTTTAGGCGCTTAATTGAGCGTTTTAGTTATGCTAATTGTTTGGCACCAACAAGGACAACAAACACAGGCTAATGGCCCGGTGCGAGATGTCCTTTTGGGTCCCCAATTTCAGCTCACATTTATTGTTGGTCATTTGTTATAAGTGGAGAGCCAGAGATCATTAAAACAAGGGGCTAGTGGTCTGCCTTTGAAGCACATTCCTCGAATTTTTTTTCCACCTTGAGGAACTGACAAATGTGCTCCAATTTGTTATGTTATTGTGCGGAAAAAGGAAGATGATAGTGGTTTAGGGGAAACTCCCATTAAGGTAACAATTAAGTGGTGATTCGGGGAACAAACAATTTCTTTTTGCTATAATTATGTGGATGAGATGTTAAATTTAATTGTCAGAATGAAGAATTGCTATTGATAATTGGGTTCTCTTTGGTTTAGCCACCATTTTCCATTAAATTAAACAGCCATTTTATTTTCCTCGCCTTTTTTTATTTTGATTATCTACCGTAAATTCTTATATCATACATATCTCGATCTTTTTGGTTTTCGTTTCATTTATATAATATATACAAGTACAATACATATATACTTTGACATATATAGGCAATATTTCGACTTAGGTTCTAATTGCTTACTATTGCCTTAGATTTTTTTCTTTTGTGTTTTTTTTTTTGGGGGGCAAATACATTTAGGCGTAGTATGTTTATATATATATTTTTTGGTTTTATATGGAACATATACATATATATAAATATCATTTATACGATTTATAAATAATCTTGACTTTGATATATAAATATAAATGTTTAGAGAACCTAAAATTAAAAGCTTAGCACAACATTTTTCATTTGCTTTGTGAAATGAATTTCGGAGTTGGCGGAGTGGCTTTGGAATGGATTCGGAAATCTCACAAAAAAGTATGAAATTCGTAGATATTAAAATTTTAAAATTTTTCAATAGTACCCCCGTGACCATCTCCGTTTTAGATAACTTAAACAAATATATATCGCTGCATTTTTTGATGAACTAGCGTTTTGCTTGTATTTCGCTTATCTTGATACATTGTCTTTGTATGTTTTGTATTCAATCCTTAAATGCATTTGAAGTTACTTTGAGCTAGCTGAAACGAGTGTCTGGTGTGTTAGTGTAAATATTTTTAGATACATCCTGCAGTTGCTTCTGGGTCTTGGCCTTGGGCTGAAATCTCCCCTCCTTTCACATCCTCTAACTATAGCTGGACTCCATATTACTGGCTACCTCCGAATCCCATTCCCTCCCTGAAGTGTGGCACTGGAGTTGCGTGACAATTGAATCATGTTAATTGCCTGATGCATCTGCTGTTGGTCCTGCCGCACTCGCATCCGCATCCTTTCCAGCTACATTTCGACACCCGCAGGCAGGATTTGGGATGCCCCTTTGTTGCGATGACCCGCATTCCAACGGCTCCTGTCCGTCGGATTGTGCACCTTTCGCTCGTGTTGCACGCTGCACCGCCGGCCTTTGTCATCACCACCATCGCCTGCAACGGCGACACTAATTGCCGGGCCAGAGTCCAACTGAGCACCGCCGCCACCAGCGATCCACCGAGTGCCCAGGATTGACTTGCACTTGGACGGCAACTGGATGAGCCGGCTCCCCGCCAGGCTGCTCCTCCGTCCTCCAATCCGCCCTCGGTTCCGTCGTCTTCTTCGCCTGAGGGTACAAAATGAAAGAAAAAGTCTAGCGAGAAATAGAAAGAAATGCAGACAGAAATGCAGGCCATGTATTCGATGTACTCTGGTAGCTCCTCCATCTAGCTACAGGCGAACTTGTGTAACTCAAGCCATGTACTCGATGTATTCTGCTAGTTCGCTTTTTTCTCCCATCTTCCTTAAAGACGAACTTTTATGACCTAAACTATCACCACTGGTGTTTTCACATGTGAGACTGAAATTTGAGCTTACTTAAAGCTGCAAGTAATAAATATCTGTTATTTTACATCAGAGTTTTGCCTCTGCTTCAATAATATCTTGTTATACAGAACGGCTTTAACCAGTGATATTTTTGAAAGAATTTATAAGATCTCAGAATAATCTTTTTTTATGTTTAATTTTTGTTGCCTATAAATAATGATTATTTTCAAATTAATATATTAAAAACTAAAAGTAGAATGTGCTAGTATATCATTATATAACTTGCCATTAAAACTATTTTATCTATAAAGCTGGTCTTTTTTTGTGATTTTCTTGCAAGTTAGAGTTTTTGATTTGCTTATTGCTATGAATGAAAATTTGAAATTAATTTTCAGAGTTAATGAATTGAAGTTACCCAAGCTCAACTGTAGTTCTATCTTCGAATTTTCTTTTAGTGTTTGTGTGTTGTGAGTTTTGTGTTTAAGGATAACAATTGGAGGCTCAACTCACCCTGTAGCTGCGTTAAATAGCTGTTCTTCTTGTTATGGAAATGGCTGTCCTCGTGCAGCGCATATTGGTCATAGAAATCGTCGGGATTAACATGGTTTCCATTGGCCCCGTTTCCGTGCTTGGGAAAAAGATCCGTTTCGAGGACGATTTTCTCGGTGGTTTTCCAATAAACATCATGTAACTGGGCACTGCAGCGGAGCTGAAGGATACAAAACATATAATAATTCTCACTCGGGAGTAAAAAAAACCCAAGTTACCTTAAGTTTTCCATTATCAAAGTGCTGATCGGTGACCACAAAGTGAATACCCACTATCGCGGTTTCCATTTCGTTGCGGGCATCGCGGAGAACTTTGTGGTGTCGCACAAGGGCGGGATTAACCTGGAAAAGCGAAATTTTAAATTATTATTAGGTTAACATAGATAAGAATAACTAAATAACAAAGTCGGACAAAAGAAAATATCTACAAATATATTGGATTTCGCAAATTATGAATGTAAAAATCTTCATATGCATTGCTTATGTTATTTAAGTTTAGCGACTGTTTAAATCTAAGATCTTAGAAAATGTGTTCTTAAATTCTACCCGCTTGGCATTATATTCAGATTTCTTTCCATAGAGTCATGGAAAGCTTCTAATAAATGAAATGTGAAATGAAAAAAGGAAACGCTTTTAGTTGTCTAGCGTCCTGGCATTTGAGAACCATTATCTTTGACGTGTTTTGCCTCTTGAAACTGTGACTTTGATTGACTGCATTGCTGTCACTTAGAATGCCCTATGCCCCAATTTCACTTTAAAATCTGACCAGCGATGAAGGTATTCTTTTCTGTTTTTTTGCGTCCCAATTTAGCGAGTTGCAATTGTTTCGCGTTTATTTAGCTGGTTTGTTTCCTGGTTTTGGCGGTATGTCTTTGTTGGCTTATTGTTTAAGCGCATTTTGTGGCCAGCGAGGGGAATGAATGGGAAATAGTGAGGGCTTCGCACATCCAATCAACCGAGCGTGGCCAACTCAACTTGGTTCGACAACTGGTTCAGCGGCATTCGCTTTTCCATTCAGCCAACGCTTCATTGTGGTCTGTGTAGGTGTGGGCTTAAAGTGTGTGTGTGGGTGTGGGCTACACATATGTATGTGTGCGTGTAAGCCTTGTTTTTCCGCCGCCTGTTACCCATTTTACCGATTCCGCTGCGGCTCTTATTATGCAGCATCAATAAGCATTGTTTGCCATTGAGTGATGCTGAAACTGTCGGTGACGATGCCCATACCACTCTCACTCCCATTTCCGATTGTTCAGGATATGTAATTTACTTATTTTCCATATGTTTTGGCCTTGTTTTGTTCCAGTTGAAAGAGCCCAATTTTATTTAGAGCTTGAAAAAGTCAATTAGTCATTTGAGAACGTTGATGAGGTACAAAATCATAAACTGATGGAAATTCAAATTCATTGATAAATATTATTTAAATATTCCATTTCAATTATTAGGTACAAAGGAACAACATTTTCGGGGCTTACAAAGTTCATAGTAATTATTAGTATTAATTTTCAAACGCAAATCATACACTCCATTGAAATGCAGTAGTTTTATTTTCAAAATTAAAAGTACACTTTTCCTCTCAGAATTATAAGTTAAGATAAGTTGTCCATTAGTAATGCTTTCCTTTAGTTGATATTTTTGGGAGGGAGTGTCGAAGATAAACCAAACCTCTGTGTAATTTTGAAACGACCTTCCGAAATAGTTACACCTTCATATTTTATCAACCGCATCTGATGGCCATTGCTGTTATCCTTATGTAGTCCTTTCAAACTGGTTTACAATTGGGAAGGCATTGCTCCCGACAAGTGTCAAAAATAATTGAGAAATGTAATATGCAAATCGCTGAAAATTGTCCACGACTCGAGAGGGCTCTTAATTCTGCACATTTCCCAGGCCCATTTCCATTTTCCCCAAATGCCAGGATATGGAAATGTATGGTTAGTTTGGAAAAAAAATGACACCTAAAATTTCACGCTCCCTTCATGGGCGGCATAATGTAGGGTTGTGCAAGGGGGCGTGTCGCCATTGCGTTGATCTCCCCGAATGCGTGTGTTTTTCTGGTAATTACAGGGGGCCTTAGCCCCCAAACAACCTCCCCCCCTCCCTCCTCCCCCTTGCCATAAAGCAGTCGCATAAATTCGCGGCAGATGCCAACGCTTGAAAACAAGAAAATTGTGTTTGCATAATTTCGGGCGTACTCAGTGTTGGAGTGGGGTTTTTGTTAAAAATTGGTGGGGGTGGGGGCGTGGCACTCACCTCTTCATTATTCACTGTCCATGTGAGATTGGCCGCCGGCCGCGAATGTCGCGATGTGCAATTACCTCGCAATATGTCGCCGACCCGATATCGAGGACGTATGCCCGATATGAATGGCGCATTGTGCGGCGTTTCTGCAACAAAAAAAAAGAAGGTGGTAAATGGGCGAAAGAGAGATGGCATCAGTTGCCAGGTAAATCGGATCGATTGTCACTATATTTTTGATACTCTGCGGCACACGGCAAACCAGAATCCAGCTCGAACCCCTGACCCCAACCTGTCGTCCTGTCAATTGCGATTGCCAAGTCTGAGTGTGTGTGATGTGTGGGTCCAATCAATATCCGATGGTTGTGTGAGTGCTTGTGTGTGTCGAGGCCCATTTCATAATTGAAATAATTACGAGTTCTCCAGGTCGGTCAGGCTGGAGTTTAAATTTCGAGACCCAAAGCAAAACGCAAAAATATGCAGTCAGGATCAGGCCTCAACACTATGCTTAAATACTTCTCACGTGTTTGCCTAAAAAGCTTCTCTACAAGTTTAATTTATTAAATTAGTTTCAAATTTTAGTTAATTAATTTGTTTTTAAAGAAAACTTCTTTCTGAGAACTGAATAATCCGTTTTTGAAAAGATTATATATTGAATTTATGTACAATTTGTTTTACTTTTAATATTCATGAATTTTATAAAGGGAAGAAATGTCGTGCAAGCTTTCTCTCAAAATAAATAATAGTAATAACATAGATATACATTTAATTTTTGGTCGATTTTCAGTAGAAAAAGAAACTTTTCTCTCTGAATTTGATTTTGTTTTAAGTGCAGCACTGTCAGACATATTTTCTGAAAAGAACTAATTTCTCTGGCTGTCCATTATCCTTGAAAGTCAGAATGGAAATCGCAGACACACATCCGGATGCATGGAACACATAAACATGAAATAGACACTTTCAAAAGTTTGTCAAGCCAATTCGAGATCACCTACGTCAACATATCCACCTACACACCAATCCACACAACCCACACAGTCAGTTCGGCAGTTTATTGACCGTCTCCATTGGCATTGGCCAAATGTTTGCTCTCAAGGCCTTCACTTTGTTTGCCGGCTTAAACGTCATCATCTTTATCTCGTTTACCCTCAAATTTGTTTGTATTTTGTCTGCTTAACTGCCAAAACATTTGAACTCGGAGTTTATTTTTAAGTTTTATGTCCACAAAATCCCCCCACACAAGTATTTCGAGTCGGTCTGGAAGGACTTGGTCCGGTCAATTGAATACGACAGTTGGTCAAGTTGGCAAGTTTGTCTCTGTCTTTGACTCCGCCTCGGGCGAGGCTTAACTTTTCTGGCTTTCTTCGACAAGTGAAATACTCGAACTGAAAAATTAATTTAGTCGGTTTAATATTTGCACTCAAGAACTTAAAGTTGCCACCCAAAAACTCTTTAATGAAATCCACCAGATACAATGCGCCTTCGCAAATGTAATCGGAAATGTTTCGTTACTTATTTTTCTGTATTTTTCACTTACCAATAACTTCCAATTCTGCTGCCGCTATTAATGTATGAAATGAGGGCGCATCCGCCGATACTTCGCAACTGTATTTACCGGATGTAGCCATTGTTACTGCGTCGAGCACCACTTGGCTCTCGTTCGAGGACACGCGCTGCAAAAAAATTGACAAAAATACAGGTGAGTGGAGAATGAAATAAAATGTGTGTTTTTTAAACTGTCCAGAGCTTACATATACCCATATTTATTTATATATATTGCTCATGTTGGTCAGATGAAAAATTTCAACAAACGTATCTCGTCGGATTACTTCCGGTTTTTATATATATTCTTTTTACACATATTTAATGGGGGCGTTTAATAATTGAGCACTTTCTGCTCTCTGGAAACCTATATAACTTTTCTTTTGTCTTTCATTTATAAATTATAATTTAGTATTCTCGTTTAAGGGACTATGACTTCTAGGCTCAAGTAAGGTTGTAAATCTTTTTGGTAAAGAAAATCCACACACAGTTTGAAAAATGAAATATAAATATTGACTTTGAACCATCCACACATCAAAAATATATTCGTTCACCAACATTTAAACCCGTTATCAACGTTTTTATAACATTCACTACTGTATATTGTATATATTTCTGTACTTTTTGTATTTACATTTTCTTTTGGAGGCAAACAATTCTATTCTCCCGCTATTTTCACCATTTTCTATATAAAGCAACTCTTCAAATGAAAAGAATTTTGTTTTCTGGTATTTTTTGTCACATGAGTTGGAAACAGAAATTTGAATGAAAAATACGAATGCAAAACACAAAAGCAGTAAGCAAATAAATAAAATGCCCACGTGTTTCTTTATACGCCTGAATAATTTTCAAACCAATTTAAAAATGCCAATATTTATTGAAAAATATTGCCTGCTGCACGGAACGCATTTCGAAACTAAATAAAAAAGAAAGCTCAAGACCCGAAAGGGAATCCAAAAGTTCAGCACACGTGTGCCTGCATGTGGGCTTCTGTTTTTCCGGCTCCTAACTGCCATGAAGCGGAAGTTAAAAACCGTGTTTTGATTTGATTGCGCATTGAAATTTCACATGTCTCTGCCCCTCCTTGTTAACTGTAGCGTTTCGTTCGATTTGAATGCCCTGGAAATGCAAATGTTTTACATTGTTAAAGCCGCAACCCGTTTAGTTTAGTTTAATTTATTTGGCTTCGTTTTTTTCCCTTGTTCATCCTCTCTTTTATTGGCTTTTCAAATGGCATGGGAAAACTAAAATGAAAATCTGTGGCAATAACATAGTTTCGCTTGCCAGACTTATTGGAATAGCTGGTGTGTTTTGATCACCAAAAAAATATAGGTGTGATTTAGAAAAGACAAAAATGTGAGTGCAATAGAGCATTACAATTTTATAATTACCAAGAAATAAAATATATAAATATAATACCATAATAATACAAATGATGTTTACTAAGTGGTTAAATAGTTAATAGTACTGAAAAGGAATTGTTAAATCATTAAAAACTAATACGCAAATAACGACTTTTTCGATTACCCAGAAAAAGTAATAATAATGGAAATGAAATATTTTTAGTGGGAAATCAGTTCATTATCTTTTAATGTAGTAATGATATTTTCATATTTTTTAAATTGAAAGATAATAAATTTAAACTTACTCTCACTTTGACGCCAGGAAAGTGAAAGACCTTCATGGGCGGCGTCTCCTTGGGAGTGTACCTGTAGAACTCCCTTCTGCCCTTATACCATTTTACGGAGTATAAACTATCATCCTCGATATCGTAGAAGCATTTTAGAATGGCCTTCTCGCTGCGCCGCACCGCGTGCGGAATTCGAACCCGGACATCCTTTAAAGCTTCGCTCAGCTCTGAAATGAAACAATAACACGACAAATAAGAAAAACAATTCTCCAACAATTATATTTAATTATTTAAAGCTGGCATGCTTTCAGCGAAAAGGGACTAAACAAACAAGTCCCGTGGGCCGTGCCTAATAGAAATCAACTGGAGGCGATAAAAAATCATCGCATTTTTAATTCACTGTTTGCTTTTATTTTATTATCAATTTCATTTTTTTTGTTGCCGCTGTTGTTTTGTGTCTTCGTTTTGGTTTACGGCGTTGTGCATAATTTATTACCGACATTTTTTTGTTTTTTATTATTTGGAATTTTTATTAAATAAATCCCTAGCCAATTTTATTGACTCGACAATTCCCACGATATTTTAGATGGGATTATACCCTTTCGGATGGGTAGATAAACTGAATAATAAAGTATTTTATTGTAATTTCAGCATTTATGCGAATAATTATTACTAATGAAATAGATTTTATTAATAATTTTTAAAACTATACTAACCTCTGCAAGGGTATTAAAACATAAAAATATAATAGTGTAACCGCAACAATATCTAAATTGTTTTGAAAAATATAAACAAGGTGCACAGTTGAATATTTAGTTAGCTTTCATTTATTTGAAAGAGTAATTCAATATCGACCATCCCTCAATGAAATTTAGCCAATTTTAATATCTAGTCTGATCACGTATTGACATGGCTTTCGGCATGGTTTTATGCCACAAATCTCTAACTGACTGAACACTTACATACCAATATGCTCGCACATCCTTACATATTTATAAATATATATATTTTTGGGATATTTCTGACATTTGTACGTATGGCTGATTTCCGGTTTTATTGCCATGGCGTTTTTAGGTCCTGGCTTGGCATTATAAATCAGCTTATAACATGAACAAGGCAAACTGGCCCATGTGTATTCAACCCGCTCCATTCCACCTGTTTGCATTTATTGTTTTTCCCTAATAAAATATGAATAAATTGTTGCCTGATTATGTGAGATGAAATTAAAAAAGATTTTATGCTATTGTCGTAAAAATGTAACACTGCTGAGAGGCCATCAAACATTTGTCACACATTTATAAACTCGGCAGGAGGAATTATTTCATTTTTTATGGCTAACATAAGCGTTTGATGAGAATTGAATGTTTTATATTGCCTTGGGGATTTTATCTTTTTCGATGCATTTTAAAACCAAATATATTTATGTTCGCTTGATTTTATACATGTAGTATTTTGAGTATTAAATTTCAGAGCCTGGGAGCAATATATTTACACAACACAGGAAATCTAACTGTTGTATTGATTTCATATTTTAAAAGTACTCATTTAAACTACTTAAAGCCCAATTTATCTGATACATTAATAAGTTAGTAACTTTAAAGATTTGGAGTAACTTTTGTTTTTTATAACAGCAATTTATGTTTAGCCAATTAAAAGTTATGGTTCATGTTTTCAACGATATTGTAGGTATGGATATAATTTAAATAAATTGGACCTAACTATTTCCGATGAGTTCTTTTGGAATCCGAACTCGAAATTGTAGTTACATTTCAAAAGCCTAAGAATGTAGTATAGTGTTAAATAGCGAACCCGTTCCCGGATGTCGCAATTTGTAACCTGTCATAAGCCAAGGGTCACTTCATGTCACGAAACTAAGCTAATTTGCAGTGGCACTGCCCTTGGAACACATTCTACTTATTTACAAGCAAAGCTGCTATTGTAAAGCGATTTCCCCCGACTGCAACTCAATTCCCTTTCATTAGGTTAGACTTTCTGGTTGCTCCACTGTCATTTAGCGCCTTCTGGCGTCGCTGTCTGTGGCTTCCATTTCATGCCACACTAAATAGACAAGGTTGCAACAATCCGGCAACAAATGAATGTCCAAACAAGCCAGCACGACTGTGGGAGGTGCTTTGTAAATCCCATCAAATAACTGTAATTGCAAAGTTTTTACAGCCAGACACGAGGAGCACGCCTATGAAGGCCCCTCAACCCTCGACTCTCCATTTCGCAAGGACAATGCACATGCAACCCCTCCATTTGTTGGTGAGCAAAGGGGGGGTTGGGATGTCCCACAGGACTCCTCCGGAGGAGGTGGAACTACGTCCCCACAACGTGTGCAATAAATATGAATAACGAGCACAACGTGAGTGGCACACAAAGTAAAAACGAGACCGCACTCGACATCGCAATGGCAGTGAAAAGGCAGAATCTGCAGGCCATCCTGGCCAACCATCCTGCAAAAACCCCACGCTCCAAATCCTTGGAGAGCACCCAACCTCATTGTTGGCGACACGCGGCGGCAAATATTTGCCTCTGCCGCTGCCTTTTGTTTAAATCTTGTTTATGCAACATGCATGGCATATATTAAGAAGTGCCGACCAGACTCGAGTGTCAAGCAAATGTCCAGCAGTGCTCTGATTTACACCCGGCCACCGCCAGATGGGAGTGCTCCGGGTGTCGGTTCAGTTAACAGATTGCTCTGCGGGTTGCTCACTCTTGTCCAGCTCAAGGACCCCAGTTGGATTAGGCGACATCGCATAATCGAATTGGGTAGTGGGTCAAGGGGCTTGTAAGCATCATCTCCAAAGCACTTTCTCATTTTTCGATTAGGGGAATGGTAGGTATTAAATTTGGTGGGGAAAAACTTTTGGATATTATGAATTAAAAAGTAATTGGTCCAATGTTTTTCTTTATCCTTAAATAATCACGCCTTCAAGTTTGTGTAGATTGAACACTATTCTACGATTGCTATAATTCTTTCACTATACAAATATCATTTACCCTTTTAACTCTCTTCTATCATTAAAACTGTCTTTCCGAACTCTTAGTTTTTAAGAAGGAATAATTAAAATTAATTTAAAAAAAAAGGTTCGTCAAGTTTGTCAGTCATCTTGTTTTAATGGAAGTCTTTATGATTTTTGATATATATAAATAAATACTTTTTAAAATTGTTTTAGCTTTGATTCCAATTAAAAAGAAAACTATTTTTTGATAGTGCATCGTATTTTTTGGATCTAATGTCATTTTTAGACAGGTTGTTGACCCTAGTTTGAAATAAATTAAATTTAACCCTAAGCATTGCCTTTCCTAACTCTTAGTTGTTTAAATTATGACACTTTCTGTCAAAGCATATTTCGGAAACTTGCAGAGCCAGCTAATTGAAAAGAGTAAGACTGAGAAGGAGCAAACTGAAAGTTTGGCCAGTACTATGACCTGAACTGGTACATAATTTCCCTTCCACATGAACTCCCTGCACAAGAGCAGCATTTGCCTGACTGACCACACAGTGTACACGAAGAAACTGACGAGCAACTATGAGTTTCCTGGCCAAGTGGAAACTTTGCAAAGTACAAGTTTATGGAGCTTGGCTTTTGAGTTACACTTACACTTATGCAACAGATGGGCCGAGGCAGCAAACTGGCGTTTTAATTTTCTATTAGCAGGAAACTTGGAGTTCTGCGGCACTTACCCCTCAACCCCAAGGAAATTATGTAGAATGTCTGGCGCCAAATTCATCATAATTTGTGCTGACGTTAAAAATGTAAAATCCCATTTCGCTGTAACCCAATACGATACCCAGCTTTCAATCCCACTCCCAAATGCCTCCATCGACCACTATTAGTGTCTCGACATTGTGCAGTCATTATTCAGTCAGATTTGACTGCCATCTGGGGTTATCAGCCTCCCGTTTCGAAAAGCGAGGGAGGTTTATTCAGGCGGAGTTGACGCCATCGCGTCGGGGATGCGACTCCTTCGTCCTTTGGGGGTGGCTTGAAAAATTGTTGACAATTTCAGCTTAATGCATTTTTATGTCACTTCTTCTGGTTTAGCGAAAATGAATGCTCCTGCCGTTGTTTGTTTGTTTGTCCTGCACAAACACAGACCCACTCCGTCAGTCACCAGCACATGAGCTGGAAGAGGTCCTTGCATTCGCAGAGCCACCAATTCTGACCAAGTCTCCCCAAAAACTTCACCCCCTGCCGGATCGCTGGAGCCATTCAACGTCAACATACAGGACACTGTCTGCGTCTGTGTCTGTCCTTTGTGTTGATTATGAAATTTAAGCACAAAAACCCGTGACAGTCTGGCCGTCCCCCGTTTTTTGTTTACGCTTAAAGAGTTGGCTCCTTGGTGTTTGGCTTTTAATGGCACATTTTCCACTTTTCGGTTGGCTTTTGGGGGATGCTACATTACAATTTAATGTTTTCCGCTCTGTAATTGCGAACAGATTCGTGGAATGGCATAGTCAATGTGGAACCAAAGGAGATCTGATACCCAAAAGGATCGGTTTCACCACTTTTTATAATTTTGTTTGGTTTTTAAATCAGTTTTTTGAGGGTAAAGTTATTTAAAATGATTTCTATTAATTTAAAACAATAAATGTTTACTATTTCTCAACCTTAAAAGCCACCAAAATGATTTTCTAAGCCCTTAAGATATTAGCGATTGAGAACGAATCGGTTGGAGAAAGACGGCAAAGCAAATCCAACAAGTTTCAGGCACTTCTTCTTAACAGTGCAAACCCAAAGCCAACTTAACATCCTTGGCCATTTATTTAAAAACTAAATAAGACAAGCATCGCTAAATCGCCAACTAAGCTCATAAAATCCAACGAACAAGTGCCCGGGTGTAAAGCAACGTGGGAAATGTTCAAGTACGAGCAAAAAAGAATAAAGGGAAAATAGATAGTTGGGTGGTGCGGGGTGGTGGCGAGGTGAAAAGCTATGAAAAAGTGCAAGGATCAAACAGCTGAAAGTGAGGCACACTCACATAGCTAAATAATAAAAGAAAGTGGGAAAAGCAAAAATGCTGGCCTCTGGAATGAGTTGAAAAACGAAGGGACCAAGACCAAGCGTATCGTGTGGTGTCTGGTCTGATTTTAAAACCTACTCCCCGAAAATCCCCGTCTCTCGTTTCTAATCTAACACTGGAAATTGTGCAGGAATTTGTTGCAATGAGCTTTTTATTATCCTTTTTCGATCTCACTCGTATGTGTGTGTGTGTG